AGTGAAACTTTTAATTACATTCCAGAAAAGTTGGCTTTTAGAAGTGACTTTTCTCAAGAGATCTCATTCTACCATAATGGCCTGTAAACAGCAATGAGCTTTCTAAGCCCTTTGTGCAACCAGCCTCTGCCATTAAGGATAGAATGCATCTCTTCCCAGGACTCCTGTCTTTTGTGCATACTGTAGAAATCCTTGTTAATTTTTTGCTTTCTGATGTGACAAGATGTTTCTAGCTTATCTTTACACAAAAAAAAGCTGTGCAGCCTTAAGTACAAATTTGCCTCAGCCCTGGAATCTCCATGTCTCCAAGTAGCCATGGCTCCTTCTAGTGGGAAATGGTGTTTAGAGACTATGGTCTGGGCACTAGGGGTGCTCATTGCTGTTGAATTGGCTATTGTTTCTCAGCTTTGTCATTGGACAAAGCTAGTACACATTTTTTGTAGTAAACAGACCTTGAGTTTATATGGGTGTTTTCAATTTAAATCAGATTCAGGACAGTAGTGCTTTTGCTTCATCTTTTAACTCTTAGATTGGTATCTGTTTTCTTTCATCATCTGTTCTCTTTTCTGCCATGCCTAATCCCAGTTCTCAGTGATATAAACATAATTACTCATTTAAAAATCCTATAGTATCAACACTATTAACCATAACGTGACTTTTCAAAGCTTTTTTGTTGTTGTTGTTGTTGCTCATATTGTCCTTAGGCATATCACACAGGGAATGTGTTTTCAAATTATTTTTTTACAACCACTTTTAATTCTTTTTTTATAACTCTGTCAGCCTACCGGATGGATACAACTTTTGTTTCATTTTGCTCTGAGATTTTAGGAATTGCTTTTGAAAACTTTATTGGTTTTTTTTTCTTTTTAATTTTTCTTCTTTATTTTTATTAGTTGGAGGCTAATTACTTTACAATATTGTAGTGGTTTTTGCCACACATTGATGTGAATCAGCCATGGATTTACATGTAGTTATAATTCTGTATAATGTTTTGCTGGGAATGATTGAAGGCAGGAGGACAAGGGGACAACAGAGGATGAGATGGTTGGATGGCATCACCAACGCCAAAAGGAGATAATTTTGAGTAGACTTCGGGAGTTGGTGATGGACAGGGAGGCCTGGTGTGCTGTGGTCCATGGGGTTACAAAGAGTCAGACACAACTGAGTGACTGAACTGAACTGATAATGTTTTCACAATTTCAAACTCAGTAAACAGAAGAGGCTATTTTTAAGGAATACTGATATCCTTGTTGGCTCCATTCTAATTCTCACTCCCCTTTGAGAGGTAACATTACAAAGTTTGATTCATGTTTTTATTTTGCAGATATAGTATTTTATAAACATTTAATCTTTTCTGTAGTGTCAAATGAAAGGTCTGAATTTCATCATTGGAGTCTCAAGAGTTTGGTTTCATAAGGAATTTTCCTAAAAGCATGATATGTAACATGGAACTCTGGTAAAATCCTCTGTGTCACTTGTAAGTCCTTCAGAGCAGGTTCATGGCCCCTCCACGTCCAGATGCCCTGATGATGCAGAATAGCAGATACTTACATGGGATTAGTTTCTGCAACCAGCACCTTCTAGGGAGAGGGAACTTCAGGCTCCATCCCTAATCATTTGAACCTAAATCAGTTTCTGGAAGCTGGGTTTCAGTCCTTAGAGTGCTTCTAACCCCTCCCAGGTGATGCTAAGCTGCAGTCAGGATGAAGACCACTGTGTCAGGAGGAGTGAAGTTATATTGAGAATCCTAATGGCTATTATTTTCCCAGATTCACTGCTTTTCCTCCTTAGCTCTGGATCTTTCTCAGTTTACTCTGTCACCTGTTCCCCCATTTCTGAAGATAAAACTGTCTATTCATTTTTTCCATAAGCTCATTCTTTTATGCTTATATATTTCACTCAAGCATTTTTTTCTTTGATAGCTTGTTTCTATTTTCTGTGTTTTCTTAATTTTTCTCATGAAGTGGAGATGATGGAGTTGGGTAAGAAACCTTTTAAGTACATGTAGAAATATAACAGAGAAACTATACTGACTAGGGAAATTTTAGCACTTAACCCTCTGAGAAGTTCCCCTATGAAGCAGGAAATGGGGTCCCAAAGTCAAGTACTTTCAGAAGGTTGAATACCAAGGACTGCACCAAGAAATGTCTGTCTATCTCTCTCATACCCTGAGATTCCTGTGAATGAATGTTGTTATATTGCTGGACTCTTTTAAAAATCTTTTATGATTTCACAGTTGTGAAGAATTCCTGTGAAGGAGTAAGAACTCTATTCTCAATTGGTTTGTGGAAAGAATATTCACAGATCAAACTTAGATTGACATCAAAGATGAAGGGTTTTGGGAACAATTTTTGATCTTTTCCCTGATTATCCAGAAAGTTTTAATTTGGTTAGTTTCAAGTTTGTGAAAGTCACTCAATTGTGTCTGACTCTTTGTGACCCCCATAGACTGTATAGTCCATGGAATTCTCCAGGCCAGAATACTGGAATGGGTAGCCTTTTCCTTCTCCAGCGGATCTTCTTGACCCAGGAATCAAACAGGGGTCTCCTCATTGCGGGTGGATTCTTTACCTACTGAGCTATCAGGAGAGCCCCCAGTTTCAAGTTTGATAGTGAATACTTTCTTAGTTGTTTTTTACCTCACTAATTGAGGGTTAGGATTAGGAACAGACAGAAGAGTAGAAGCTACAGGCCCTGGACTGGCATTACTCCTTAGTGAGGCTGTTTGCTCAACTGGCATATTAAATTCTTTCTCTCAGCAGAAAAATCGAGACATTTAGGCAACAATGACCTGCCTTTATGTTGCAGTATTTTTTTTTTTTTTTTGCTGGATTTGTTGCATTTACCGTGTTCTTTAAGTAGGTGACATTACTCTTACTTTTCCTGTAATTACAATGATATTAGGACCAAATAGAGAGCTGGGTAACAGTCAGCAGTGATTCCCAAAGAGAATCGCAGTTTTAGGACACTTTGGGATGGCAGGTGTTACTGCTGGGCTTCTGGTGAAGAGCCCCAGGTTTGTAGCCTGCAGCACTGGGCTTCCCTTGATCATATCTGGGCTGGGACTGCCTTGTGTAGTTTGACATTCTCGCTTCTCTGTTTAAGCCTCCAGACTTCTATCTCAGTAAACTCTATAAACAGTGTGTTTTATAATCTATGATGTGAGGGGCTCTTCTTAAGCTTTTAGCACCTCTAGGGGTGAATGATGGGGCTTTCTGGAAATGTAGCAGTGAGCCTTTGTGTTCTTGAAAACTGATCATCTTACTCTGATATGGTCATCTTACTCATAATTCTTCCACTACATGGTCTTCTTTTCTCTGGAGTAGATGAAATCTCCTGTGACCATGTGGAAGGTAAGGCAGGTGTAACAGCCTGTGAACATGTGTGTGTAGAGCAAGACAGGAGTGTAGGGCTTCAGTGTCTCATATATTTGAGAGATGGGGTCAGCTTTCTGTAAATAATTTGAGCAGGCACTAGTTGGTTGAGCAGAAAATGCTTTTTAGTTATGCTTCACATTTTGGGCTTTAGATTCTCCTTCCTTCCTCTTGTGTGTGTGGGTGCCTCAACTTTTTAGAGACAGTAGAGAGCTTTCAAAAGAAAACCCATCTGGGAACTTCCCTGGTGGTCCTGAGTCTGCCTTTCAATGCAGGTGTCATGAGTTTGATCTCTGGCCATGAGAGTAAGATATTACATGCCTCAGGGCAACTAAACTGGCAGTTCCCAACTAGAGAAGCCTGCGCACTGCAACGAAAACTCAACACAGCCAAAAAAAAAAAAAAAAAAGTTTTGTGCTGGAGGTTTCTTGGTGGATGATGTTCCACAGTTGAGTAGACCAGTTGATAGTAGAAGTTGATAGAGATCAAATCCAGACATTGATTGAGAACAATCAATGTTATATCATGTGGGAGATAGCCAACATACTCAAAATATCCAAAAAAACCCATTGAAAGTCATTTTACCATTTGGTTTATGTTAATCACTTTGTTATTTGGATTCCACCTAAGTTAAGCAGGGTAGGGGGGAACCCTTCTTGACCATATGGCCACACTCAATTACCTACTGAAATGTAACTATTAATAAAATGCTCCTTTTTAAAAACAAATTGTGATGGGCGATGAAAAGTGAATACTGTACACCAATGTGGAATGGAAGAGATCATGGGGTAAGTGAAATGAACCACCACCAACCACGCCAAAGTCCAGTCTTCATCCAGAGAAGCTGATGTTATGTATACTGTGGAACTGAAAGTGAGTCCTCTATTATGAGCTTCTTCTGGAAAACCAAACAGTTAAGTCCAATGAGTACTTCTCCCAATTAGATCAACTTAAAGCATCACTTGATGAAAAGTGTCTGAAATTAGTCAACAGAAAATACATTATCTTCCATCAGGATAATGTAAAACCTCATGTTTCTTTGATGACCAGGCAGAAACTTACAGCCTGTCCTGGAGGATCTAACTCATCTTACGTATTTACCAGACATTGCACTTTCATATTTCCATTTATTTTGTTTTTTACAAAATTCTCTTACTGGAAGAAAATTTTAATTCTCTGGAAGACTGTAAAAGGTACCGGAAATAGATACAAAGTTTTCCTCAAAAAGATACAAAGATTTGGGAAGATGGAATTAGGAAATTGCCTGAAAAATGGAAGAAGGTAATGGAACAGAAGTTTGAAAAGGTTGTTCAACAAAGTTCTTTGTGAAAATGAAAAATATGCCTTTTATTTTTACTTAAAAACCAAAAGAACTTTTTGGCCAACCCAATACTAAAGCTTTATTGTCTTTGAATGTAAGATTTTGGCCTATGTTAAAACTAGCACTGTTGTCTGCGTGACTTCTTTGAGATAGTGGATCTGTGTATTTTTCTTTTAGATTATCCATGAATGTAGCATTTTCTCAAGATGCCTTTTTAACATGCTAATAATAAAAGTAAAACTTGTGTTAAGAAAAACTGGCATCACTTGTATTTCTCATTAAGGTTTTTTTCTTCTTTCTTTCAGGAAGGCACCAAAGTAGTTCAACCCATCTTTTTGGGGAAAATGGTTAGTTATGTTGAAAACTATGATCCTGCCAATTCTGCTGCTTTGCACGAAGCCTACGGCTACATGGCAGGGCTGAGCGCCTGCGTGCTCGTGTGGGCTGTTCTGCACCACATTTACTTCTTCCACATTCAGCGTGTCGGGATGAGGCTGAGAGTAGCCGTGTGCCATATGATCTACCGCAAGGTGAGTGTCACTCGGTACTACGGTGTGTACCTCCCGTGAGCATCAGAAGTATCTTGGGAAAGTTCTCTGTAAACTAAAAATTTGTAACTAGGATCATTTACACCTTCCTAGAGAGACTTGCTATTTGCATCAGGCCAATTTTGTTGTTGTCATTTAAGCAAACTTTACCAGTAAATAATGAAAAGTTTTGTGTTGAGATTGGGTCAGAGCTGCCTTTGATAATGTTTATTCACAGGTTGTTGCATAATATCCACTCAGCTTGTAATGGATTCTTATTATCAAATTGGTTTTCACTGTTTTCATACTTAAATCTCATAGCTGTATTTTGTGGAACTTTTGTTGTTCATTGAAACCTTCTTTTACATTGAAGTTGTATTTAAAAGTAAACTTCAGTGACTGGATTTATGAAATTAAATCTAGCAGCAAAAAATGTATTTGAGAAAGGAAATGATTATATTTTAAAATGACCCATCTAATCCTATTGAATATAATTGTGTGAACTAAAGAAAAATATAAATGGAATCCATGCCAAACATAAGACTTGTTCACTTAATTCTATAGTTATGATTGTTTATAATGGTACTAAAGAATAGAGCTGAATGTTGGGATGAAACTTGAAATCAGATACTGTTTTTAGTATTTTGGTGAGAATTTGTTGCTATTCATTCAAGTTATTTAATTAATTCAATGTTTCTTTTTTCTTAAGTATGCATTTTAGCACTTTTAATAAGACCTGATTTAATGTGTTCAGTGACTTTGTAATGAGAAATGCCACAGAATTATTCCATAGTTTACCCTGGCCTTAACTAGTTTAAAAGAAATAAGGATTTTCGGTGTTTTTATAAAGGAATTGCCACAGATACACCAGTGTTGTGAACTGAAGGGCTCTTTATAAACTTGATCTTAGATGTCTCTTTGCCCTGGGCTGTTTACATTTTTCTAGAAAAAAAATTATATAACTGTTTTTTATAGTTGAAATTTGCAGAGAGAGTAGATCTTGAGAGTTATCACCACACATACAAAAGGGTAACTAAATGTGATGATGGCGTATGTTTATTTGTTTTTCTACTGTAACTGTTTCCCAATGTTTATTTATATCAAAACATCACATTGCACATATTAAATATATTTAATATTTACTACAAATAAAATCCTCATTGAAAGCTAAAACCAAAAAATTTAAATGAAAAATATTGCTTTTCTTATTATTTGCTACTTATCTAGAGCTTCTGTTTCTTGGGAATACTTTTCTGGGAAAAATGTAGGATGTGTTCTCCCCATCTTTCCTTTAGTAAAATCTTATCAGATCTTGGGACTGTGAACTCATGGCCCTGGCATCTCACTGTCTGTGTTTGGCTTTGGCACATGAGTCCAGGTTCTCCTTGCATGACATACCCTCTAGTTAAGGATCTTCATTGTCAGTCATCATCATCTTTGTTATTCTCTTGCACCTTCTACCATTTAATAGACAAATACTCAGATTTCCCCACAAATTCAGTTCAATTCAGTTGCTCAGTCGTGTTCGACTCTTTGAGACCTCTTTGGACTGCAGCACACCAGGCCTCCCTGTCCATCACCAACTCCCAGAATTTATTCAAACTCATGTCCATTGAGTTACTGATGCTATCCAACCGTTTCATCCTCTGTCGTCCCCTTCTTCTCCTGCCTTCAATCTTTCCCCAAATCAGGGTCTTTCCCAATGAGTCAGTTCTTTGCATCAGGCAGCCAAATATTGGAGTTTCAGCTTCAGCATCAGTCCTGCTGATGAATATTCAGGACTGCTTTCCTTTAGGATGGACTGATTGGATCTCATTGCTGTCCAGGGGACTCTCAAGAGTCTTCTCCAACACCATAGTTCAAAAACATCAATTCTTTGGTGCTCAGCTTTCTTTATAGTCAGACTCTCACATCAGTACATGACTGCTGGAAAGAACCTAGCTTTGACTATATGGACCTTTGTTGGCATAATGATGTCTCTGCTTTTAATATACTGTTTAGGTTTTGGCTGAAAATTACTTAGTTGGCTCCTAAGTCTAAACCTACATTCATTTATCCTTTGGGCAGGGCCAAGTTCACTGAGAAACAGGGTGGAGGGTTTTGCTTCTGTCTCTTGCTCCTCCCTTTGCTGTCCTTGCAGGCAGGGCTGCCGCCACGTTGAATTGTCTAAGGATGAACATGGGTCCCTAGATCCCTGCTTTCAGGCATCATCCTGCTTGTCCTGACACCACACAAAACCCCGTGAAAATGCACTCCATTTCGCTATGTTATCAGGCTGACTTGGTATCACTGTAGGAATCCAACTCTCTGTATCTTTCTCTCATTTCAGTCACTTTGCCTGAGTAGCTCGGCCATGGGGAAGACCACCACAGGCCAGATAGTCAACCTGCTGTCCAACGATGTGAACAGGTTTGATCAGGTAAGCTTCCTCTGAGGGATCCTCTTCCATTTCCCATCCTTCTTCTTACTGGACTTAGCTTATTGGGATGCCACGTACCAGGGTTTGGTGTCAGCCAGGGTTCTGTTGAGGACATAAGACAAGGGTTCTCTTTATCCAATGCTCATTTCCTCTGTGTACAGCTTAGATGTGATAATAGTTTTGTCCTGTAGATGAGAAGTTTGTTTTTCTGACATTGTCTGCAATATACTTCAGTAGTAGCAAGGCAGCAGTGTTCTTGGACAGCTTGGTTAGTGTTCGTAGGGGTCCTCCATAGAAGTTTCGCAGTGGCCTTTCTTGGCATGTGGTGTCAGTGTTGCTGCCTCAATTGTCTTCCTCCCTCTGGATGATGAAGGCCTGGTGGGCAGGGATTGTTCTTTCTCCCGCACCCTGTTCAGTGCTGCTGCATAGGGAGCGTTTGCGGAATAATGCCAAGTGGGTAGTCTCCAGCTATGCACAACCTCCTCTCTGCTGTCCCATCATACCCATTTCACACTTACCTTATGAATAGATCATGTTACCAGGGTGTTGCAGCTCTTGGCCAGATCTGCATAGAACAGTTCTCTTTCCTGGATGATCCTGGCCTTTTAAGTTTGGGGGCTTACCTGGTAGCTCAGATGGTAAACAGCCCACCTGCAATGAAGGAGGCCCGGGTTTGATCCCTGGGTCAGGAACATTCCCTGGAGAAGGAAATGGCACCCTGCTCCAGTTATCATGCGAGGATAATTCCATGGACAGAGGAGCCTGGTGGGCTATAATCCATGGAGTCGCGAAGAGTCGGACATGACTAAGCGACTAACACTTTCACTTCTTCTTCAATTGTTCCTTCATCAAACATGATGTAAGACCTCTAGTTAATTTGAAGGATGAATAAGCCTTAAATTCTGCCCTGGAAAGGTCACAGACTGTCTGAAAGGTAAATGCACAAGCAGTTATCACAAAGTATGGTAGCTACCACATTATAGGCTCTTCTGGGGAGATGGGGGCTGAATTTTGGGACAGAGAGAGTTTGGGGAAGCCCCGAGCTCATCTGTGTTGTGGACAAAATCAACATCTTCCATCAGTGATGCTGGCACGTCCCTGAGGCCGGCCCTGTGCCACCCCAGAACAGCGTCATCTGGGGTGGACACTTGGATTTCTACTTCATCAGGTGTAAAACTCACTGAAATCATTTCTGTTCAGATTCCTGTCTGTTCCTTCAGAGCAGATTGTTTCTACTGTGTCCTTACTGGTTTTATTGTACGCAGTCCTAAGAAGGCTTTGTCTTTCTCTTTTAAGGTAACGATGTTCCTGCACTATCTGTGGGTGGGGCCACTGCAGGCTGTCGCAGTGACTGCCCTGCTCTGGATGGAAATAGGAATGTCATGTCTTGCCGGGATGGCAGTTCTCATTCTTCTTCTGCTTTTGCAAAGCTGCTTCGGGATGTTGTTTTCATCACTCCGGTAAGAGAAACACTGGTTTGAAAAATAGGTGATATGTGCTTAATAACATGCAGCATCTGCTCGATGCTTCTGATCAAAATCAAAACCAATGCCTTCTCTGGTCTCTTCTTTGAGTGCATTGTAGACCCTTCAGGCTTTGCAGGTGGAGGCTCTAGCCTCAAGCTGAAGGCTGATTTTGAAGAGGGAAAGGAGATGGCACTCACTGGCTCCTCCCACTACCATACCTGAATAAGTGGAGTGTTCTTGAGCAGAATGTACCTATGTTGATGTCATGTAAACTTTATTAAGTAGTAATAATCCATAGGCTCAAATTTAGCTGCATGTATTTTTGTTACGTTAGAGCAATTTTCAGGTATCTATTTTCATGTCTTGTTTTTAGTTCAGTGTTTCCGTTAATTTATAAGTGCCTCAAGGATAAGGTCAATCTTAATTATCTATGTCTTTATAAAGCCCCACAATCCCAGCAGAATATGTGACAGAACAGTGACTGGTGATGAAGGACCTAATGGTGATAAGATAGACCTGAGGCAGGTCCCAGAGGGTTGGAGGTGGGTCATTGTCCAGGTTGTCAGGTGATAGAGGTATTGTGCTCTTTGAAGTTTTTTTTTTTCCTTGAGATTTTTCTTCTTCTTCTTCTTCTTCTTCTTTTTTTTTTGGTGACTTTGCATGTGCTGTTTTTGTGTATTTGCAATTTCCTTTCCTGTTTGCTGTGAAGAGATGTTCCTTGTCCTTCAAGGCCCTGTTCCAGTGCTACCAGGTCTCTGAATTCCTACTTGTTCTGCTTTCCTGGTAGAATTAACAGTCCCATTTTTTCTGCTCCCCAGAACTTCTCTCCTATTTTACCACAGCACAGACACTGTCTTCCCATTAAATTCAATGTGTTTTTGCCTTCCCTGCCCAACTGCAACCTCCTTGGGCAGAGAGTTTATACCTGACTTACTTCGGGTCTTCTTCATCCAGTTCTGCAAGTTCTCCAAGTCACTCCTTGAATTAGGCTGAATGGTTGACTTCTAGAAGTCTTTTTCTCCATTTGCACTTTGAGAAGGACCTGCCTGTGATGTCAGCACAGAAGAGCTGTCGGGAATCATTGATCCCTGGCCCCTCCCTGTGCCCCCTCCTCCTGCTGCTGCTGCTGCTGCTATGGAAAGTTGAGCTATGGTCATTAAGTCTCATCTCTCACATCTGTTCCCTCAGGAGTGAGACTGCAGCTCTCACAGATGACAGGATCAGGACCATGAGTGAAGTTATAACTGGCATCAAAACAGTAAAAATGTATGCTTGGGAACAGTCATTTATAGACCTTATTACCAGATTGAGAAGGTATGTTTTTGTACATATCACACCATATTTCTGTACTTTCCCCCCTATTTTTACTGACTTAAATTAGAAGTCTTACCAAGTTTTCACATGAAGATGAGCTTAAATACTATGAACTCCACACCTCACATGTGGCAGGAGGGTTAAGTGGAAGAGGGGAGATGTCATTTTAACCTGCTGTTCCATTTACCATCTTCTTAAAGGGAAAATTATATATGCTTCTGAAGACATACAGCTGGCCAATAAACACATGAAAAAATGCTCAACATCACTCTTTATTAGAGAAATACAAATCAAGACTACAATGAAGTATCACCTCACACTGGTAGGCATGGCCATCAACAAAAAGTCTACAAACAGTACCCTCCTGCACTGTGGTAGGGGTACAAATTGGCATAGCTATTATGGAAAACAGGCTGGAGATTCCTTAGAAAACTAGGAATAAATCTGCATATGACCCAGCCATCCCACTACTGGGCATATGCATTGAGAAAGCCAGAATTCAAAAAGACACATGTGCCTCAATGTTCATTGCAACACTATTTACAATAGCCAGTACATGTGCTTCCATAGGGGCCACAGTGCCTGCCTAATCTGTCTAATGTGTTGGTGCCTCACAATTTTGGGGTGTCTTATTCTCTTCCCCCACAAGTTCATGAGCTTCTGGAGGGGACGGGCTGTGTCTTTCTGTCATTAGTGGGGAGCCTGGCCCAAGAGTTGTGGTTTTGAATGCTTGTTGAAAGAATGTTCAAACCCGGTCCAGTTGACCCACAGTGTTTAAAAGGGTGACATGAAGCCTCTATTTAGTTGGAAGAGTGAAGTGGTGATGAAGCGTGTGGTCCTGGTGTTGGGATGGAGTCCTGGGCATGTACTGTGAAGTGTCTCCATATGAGGACTTGAATTCATGCCTTAAATGTTGATGCTTCTTTTAAAATCTCTTTCCTACTCTCTTTTTCAGGAAAGAAATTTCCAAGATTCTGAAAAGTTCCTACCTTAGGGGCATGAATTTGGCATCATTTTTTGCTGTAAGCAAAATTATGATTTTTGTCACCTTCATCACCAATGAGCTCCTTGACAACCTGATCACAGCCAGCCGAGTGTTTGTGGTGGTGACGTTGTTCGAGGCTCTGCGGTTCTCGAGCACCCTCTACTTCCCCATGGCCATCGAGAAGGTGTCAGAGGCCGTCGTCAGCATCCGAAGAATCAAGGTTTGGGGACAAATGATTGTTTTCAGTTGTAGGTGGATTTTTTGTAAAATGCCCTTTTGTTTGGTGTCACTGTGTTCCGGTCAGGTGATATTTAACTCTCTCAGTGCCAAACCTGGCAGTCTTCCCAGAATGTTGTAGGTGCCCACTTCTCTTCATAGGTAGAGTGCATTACAGATACCGTAAGACTGGTTCACGTGTAGGGGCAGTAGTATATATAAGTAGCGGTATCACAGAGCTGTAATGTAGTGATGCCTGCAGAGTGATTAAAATGTCTAACAGCAGGAGAAGCAAACAGAGTGCATCTCCTGTGCTAACTCCAGTGACTAGGCAGTGACTATGCACAGTCCTGGGATATAGGATTCCTCTCTGGGCCAGGAGGGCAGGAACTTGCTTAGAGCTCCCTGCTCCTTGGAGAGGAAGAGTGGCCTCAGATTCACTTAATTCTCTGTGTTCAAAAATGAGTTTTTTCCTGCACAGATGTTTTGATTGTTGATGGCTGAGCCACCTTTTGCATCTGCCTTTTCATCCCTGGCCCCTCTTTACTTACTGCTTAATCCTCTCTCTCTAGTTGCCCTCTTCTTTTCAAATTATGTAATTGCCACCATTATGTGAACCAAGAAGTTCCAGATATACAAGCTGGATTTAGAAAAGGCAGAGGAACCAGAGATCAAATTTCTAGCATCCATTGGATCATAGAAAAACAGAATTCCAGAAAAACGTCTGCTACTGCTTCATTGACTACTCTAAAGCCTTTGACTGTGTGGATCACAACAAACTGTGGAAAATCATGAAAGAGATGGGAATATCAAACCACCTTACCTGTCTCCTGTCAAACTTGTATGCAAGTCAAGAGGCAACAGTTAGAACTGGTCATGGAATAATGGACTGGTTCCAAATTGGGAAAGGAGTACATGAAGGCTGTATATTGTAGCCTTGCTTTTTTTTAACTTATATGCAGAGTACATCATGAGAAATGTTGGGCTGGATGAAGCTCAAGCTGGAATCACGATTGCTGGGAGAGATATCAGTAACCTCAGACATGCAGATGACACCACCCTTGTGGCAGAAAGTGAAGAGGAACTAATGAGCCTCTTGATGAAGGTGAAAGAGGAGAGTGAAAAAGCTGACTTAAAACTCAGCATTCAGACAACTACAATCATGGCATCTCATTCCATTACTTCATGGCAATAGATGGGGAAACAATAGAAACAGAAAAAGACGTTTTTTTCTTGGGCTCCAAAATCATTGCAGGTGCTGATTGCAGCCATGAAATTCAAAGACCCTTGCTTCGTTGAAGAAAAGCTATGACAATCCTAGACAGTGTATTAAAAAGCAGAGACATTACTTTGCCAACAACAGTCCCTATAGTCAAAGCTATGGTTTTTCCAGTAGTCATGTATGGATGTGAGTGTTGGACCATAAAGAAGGCTGAGCACTGAAGAACTGATGCTTTTGAACTGTGGTGTTGGAGGAGATTCTTGAGAGCCCCTTGGACTTCAAGGAGATCAAACCAGCCAATCCTAAAGGAAATCAACCCTGAGTATTCATTGGAAGGTCTGATGCTGAAGCTCCAATACTTTGGCCACATAATGTCAAGAGCCAACTCATTGGAAAAAACCCTGATGCTGGGAAAGATTGAGGTCAAGAGGAGAAGGGAACAAGAGAGGATGAGATGGTTGGATAGCATCACTGATTCAACAGACATGAGTCTGAGCAAACTCTTGGAGATAGTGATGGACAGGGGATCCTGAAGTGCTGCAATCCATGAGATTGCAAAGAGTCAGACACAACTTAGTGACTGAGCAACAACAAATACACTATATTATATGATTATATTGATATATACCATGAGCTGTAATAATATTAATTATTAAGTATGTAATAATAGTAATTATGTAATATATTATTCCATACATTATTTAATATGTTCTGAGTGAAAGTTAAAGTTGGTCAGTTGTGTCCAACTCTTTGCAACCCTATGGACTATACAGTCCGTGGAATTCTCCAGGCCAGAATACTGGAATGGGTAGCCTTTCCCTTCTCCAGGGCATCTTCCCAACCCAGGGATTGAACTCAGGTCTCCTGCATTGCAGGTGGATTCTTTACCAGCTGAGCCACAAGGGAAGCCCAAGAGTACTGTAGTGGGTAGACTAACCCTTCTGCAGAGGATCTATCCAACCCAGGAATCGAACTGGGGTCTCATGTATTGCATAATATGTTCTGATGTGAACTAATACTTTAAGTACAGTTAGCAAAACAGTATTTAGACTGTTCAAAGCTTGCAAATCCCAGGAAAGCAATTGTTTTTGTTTGTGCTTACTTCCTGCAGTTTAACAATCTGTTTTTTTTTTCTCATTTCTGTAGAATTTCTTATTACTTGATGAAATACCACAGGTCAACACTCAGCTGCTGTCAGATGGTGAAGTGATGGTGGACATGCAAGATTTCACTGCTTTTTGGGATGAGGTAACAGATCTTCCATTCCAAGATCATGACTGCTAACAGACAACTGTGACTAAGATTTATTGGAGAATTTTTAGATTTTACCCATGGTGTAAAATGTGACTTGCTCATTTACTAAAAGTATGTTGCAAAATTTTTCAAAATAGAGACTAATGTTTTATCTAATAGAGATTAATTATAAAATCAACCTAAGATATTTGACATGTTGCTGTCTCATTTTCAAGAGAGCTTTCAAAGTATAAGCACATTTTGAACTTAAAGTCCATGCGTTTGTAATGTTAGCATTTACAGAATTGGACAGACAAAATGCTGCAATGTGATATGGGTTATCTCAAAAATACACAACTAGTTTTTAAAGAGGCTTTGGGGAATCAGCGTATATTTTTTACCTTGATTTTCAGACCAGTTTATTATACACAGAGAGGCCATGATCTGGATCTTTGCTATGGGGTAAAGCGGGGGCTCCCCCATCCTGAGCTTCTGGATGGTTCTGAATACTTTGGTGGCAACCAGGGTAGGAGGAGACAGCAGGTGATCATAGTGAGCACCAGTGATTCCTAGTTAAAGCATTACGCTGTGTGGAAGCTGACTAGGAGAGCTGGTGGTTTCCAACCCTTGTTTTATTTGTTGAAAGTGAAAGTGAAGTCATTCAGTTGTATCCAACTCTTTGCGACCCCGTGGACTGTAGCCCACCAGGCTCCTCTATCCATGGGATTCTCCAGGTAAGAATATGGGAGTGGGTTGCCAGTTCCTTCTCCAGGGGATCTTCCTGACCCAGGGATCGAACCCAGGTCTCCCGCATTGCAGGCAGATGCTTTAACCTCTGAGCCACCAGGGAAGCTTCAGTCAAACAAAAAACAACAGGGTCTGGTCTCAAGAAGTTGTCAGTATCACACACCCAGTGCAGCCCCTTTACCAAATGAAATGCACCCTCCCCCCCCGCCCTGGTCTCCGGTTCCGTGGTCTTCTGTGCACACCCTCCTGTATCAGTGAGGATTGGTTAGGAAAACAGAACCCCACCACGGGAGAGGGAGTTCCATGCAGGGAATTAATTACGCAGATGATAAAAGAGGGAGAAAAAAGCAGTACGGGCAAAATGGTGGTGCGTGAGACAACCCAGGGGTTATCAAAGGCAGGAAGCTGCTCCCACCCCGAGGGATAGGGGTACTCAGGAAGGCGCACCTCCACCAGAGGGTCCACCCTCCAGATCAGAGCCCAGGAGCCAGGCTGTCAGAGTGGGGACCACAGAGCACGTGTCCTGACTTTAGGCTCATCCTGTCTTTCGTGCCTGTGACTCTGTGGTGCCACATGCTTCTGACTCAGCAGCTTCCGTCCCCACCAACAACCAGTGGTTTGTTCCCAGATACATGAAACCACATCCCAGCACCTTCTGTCCGTGGAAACTCACACACGGTGTCTGATCTAACCTGAGAGCTTCTACTACCTTAATACGGTAGATTTACCTTCTGGTTGGTGTTTCTCGTCATAATGCTCTTGAAGCAGTTATAGAAAACACCACTAAAATTCCATTAGAAAGACCATTTCATGTGAATGCTAATACATACTTTGTATGAACTTATTAGCAGATTTCTTTTGTTCCCAGCAAACATGTAGATTTATTTTAAATCAGTTCAGTATATGTTCTGCAGTTATTAATTAACTGAAATTAAAATGTCTGTATGCAGCAGTCTGCCTGTGCAGCAAATGCCTGTAGGGTAGAATAAGGGATTTTAGTTGTACTATAGTCCGTGTGAATAAATCAGATGAAAAATCTGAAAAGGTTTCTGTATGGCTTCTAGAGTTAAAACAAAACAAAACAAAAACCCACATTGTTACTAACTCAAGATACTAAACTGCCGAAGAGGGGAAAAGGCTGTGAGTTCTTTTGTAAGGCTCTTATAAAATCTAACTGATGGCATATTATGATTCTGTTAGAGCAGAATTCAAAATTACAGAGATGAGAGGCTTCATCAGCTACATCTTCACAGAAATAGATACAATGTTAACATTATTGTGTGGCATGGTTTCCTTGGAGAAGGAAATGGCAACCCCCTCCAGCATTCTTGCCTGGAGAATCCCATGGATAGAAGAACTTGGCGGGCTACAGGGTTGCAGAGTCGGATGTGACTGAAGTGACTTAGCAAAGCAAAGCAAAGGTGTTCCTATCTAGGTAAAGGATAATTATGCTATTGCAGCTAATTTTTACCACTTTCAGGAGATGGAAATTCTAAATATTTTCAACTGAATCGAGTTGAAAATCTAGCACTCACTAAAAACTAACAGCCATGGCACCATAATAAGGTTTTTTGTGAGATAACCTAGACTGTTACCACTGAGGGAAGACACAAACGTGTGAGGTAAGCATATCTTTTCCCAGAAGCCTTTGAAGCCAGAGATAAACAATTAGGGCACTTGAAAACATTAGGGATATGTATAAACTTGCAAGTAAAACAAACTATAGCTGTACTAGCAAACAATGAAGAAATAGTAAATCTTCATTTTATGAACCTTTAGTTATCCAAATGTAAGGAATTTTGGCTTAAGAAATGGTCAAAAGCAATTTGTCATTTCTTACTATATAATATTGAAAGCCAAGTGCTAAATTCAGTCATTGTAGGGTAAGGAAACTAAAACAAAAAAGCCTTGATGACCTGGAGCCTTAATGAGCAAAAGCTCATTTTAAACTGACTTAAGCCCCTGAACTCGGAGAAGGCAATGGCACCCCACTCCAGTACTCTTGCCTGGAAAATCCCATGGACGGAGGAGCCTGGTAGGCTGCAGTCCATGGGGTCGCAAAGAGTCGGACATGGCTGAGCGACTTCACTTTCACTTTTCACTTTTATGCATTGGAGAAGTAAATGGCAAACCACTCCAGTGTTCTTGCCTGGAGAATCCCAGGGATGGGGCTTGCACAGAGTTGGACACGACTGAAGTGACTTAGCAGCAGTAGCAAGCCCCTGAACTAATCCTGTGTGTCAAAGGCAGGGAAGAAGGATCCCTCTAAACCTGAAAAAACTAGTGATTCATAAGGAAACTAAAGAGATGAAAGTAGGTGTGCTTATCATGCCACAGGAATTGAAACTAAGAAGAAAAAGATGGGTGAGAAGAAATAAAAAGTACGATCTATTTACCTAGGGCAATCATCATTAAAAATTGACAGTAATCTGATCAACTAAAATTTTTTTCTGAAATATACTGCTCACATTTTTTGTGTCAAAACTTAAAATGATTGTCATTAAAGAGTTAGTAAATGATTCTAAAACAACTTTCTTGCTTCATAAAAGTTACATTTTAAGAAAGCTCGGTGGAAATCTTAAGGTACAAGAGTTAGGATACCTTTTTGAAGCACAAAGGAAAATACAATTAAATAAACTTTATACTTTTTAACAGCCATAAGAAAAATTTAGGGTGGTTCAATAGGTGAAGGCTTTTGACTTCCTATAAATTGTTTAAGTTACTCAGGCTTGAAATAAAGTAGGTAAGTTTTCAGTTAAATACTGACAGTGTAGTATCTTAGAGCAGATTTTTTATTGCCCACATCAACAGTTACATCCTCAGACCAACTTTTCTCTTCTTTAATGTGAAATAGCAAATCACCAGCCTTTTAGGTTAAGTCTAGACTTTAAGGCCTTGTTCTTTAATTTCTAAATGATACAAAGTGCTTTATAAGTATGAACAATAATCTGTTATACTTTACTATTTTTTGTCCTTTCCATTCATTTCTTTAAATCTGGAATCTGGCATCTTTTATACGTGTATAAAAAATAACTGTTATCAAGCACAAAAGTTTCCTCTAAGGATACTAAATTTTTAAATTTATTCCACTTTTTAAATGATAGCCAAAAATCCACCTGATTGATGCTCATTTAGAACCTTCTTCTCAATTATGGTCACTAAAGTACATCCTGAGTTCGAATAAAAATAATGCATCTTTCAGGCTTTAAAATAACTACTTTTTAAAAAATTTTAATTGGAGGCTAATTACTTTACAATATTGGGCTTCCGTGCTGGCTCCATGGTAAAGACCCTGCCTTCAGTGCAGGAGACCCAGGTTCGGTTCCTAGGTTGGGAAAATCCCCTGGAAAAGGTTATGGCAACCCACTCTAGTATTCTTGCCTAGGGACTGCTAAGTGATTTTCACTGCACCTGCAGAAGGGTCATGAGGTTGTCTGAACAGCACAGTGTTTTCCATCACTTACAGAGTTACATTTGGCATGTCAGGAGGAGAGAATCTAATCCCACAGCAGCAGCCATTTAAGGTAAAAGAAGAAGCCACAAATATTCATGCAGAGTACTTTAGATATTCCCCTTGAGCAAAATGATTTAACTGATTTTTCCTCAAGAGCAATGCTCCTATATGCATCCCTTGAAAAATTAAAGATCCCAGAATAGCATCTTCCATGTGGGACATATTGAAAGATGATATTTTGGTGTCAGTGAGTTACACTCTAGCCCTTGTTAATTTAGCAGGTCTGTTTTCAGAAGGTGGGGTTAGTGTTAGTCGCTCAGTCGGGTCCAACTCTTTGTGACTCCATGAACTATAGCCCACCAGTCTCCTCTGTCCCTGGAATTCTCCAGGCAAGAATACTGGAATGGGTTGCCATTCCCTTCTCCAGAGGATCTTCCCTACCAAGGGATCAAACTTGGGTCTTGCACGTTGCAGGCAGATTCTTTACCATCTGAGTCACCAGGGAAGCCCACAGAGTATGTTAGTTTTGTCTTTTAGATTTGCAGAATCTATAGAGAAAGAAAATTACAGCCTACACACACAAGAAAGGACAATTCCTCCAAAGAACCTGGCTGCATCAAAGGCAGACTTTGGTGCAGGTTGTGAGCTCAGAGTTAGTGGTTTTAGTTATACCTGACGTGGCAGCTGTGGTGGGAGCTGAGGAGGGGAAGGCAGAGTTGTGGTGTTAGCTCTCGAATTGGTTGGCGATGGCGTGACAGTGGGCACGGAAAGAATTCTGTGTTCACCACCTGGTAGTCACTAACTTTGAATTATG